CTGCCTGGAGAGAGATGCAAAGCACACCGGAATCCAGAAAGTTGATGAAAGTGATGGGCAGATGCAGAGCAGCACTCACTACATAAAAGGGATTTTTTTCATGTAAACTTTGATTGCGTTATCAAAAACTACTCTAGTATGCCTTCCTATTACAATGCTGATGTTATAACAGTATAGTATATGCTGGGACTTTAGAACACCTTTAAGAGACACCAAGGAATTTCCAGGATTCTGATTAGTTGCTAAGCTCACATATGTACTGTCATTATCAAATGACAATCAGAAGTTGGAGGAAACTGAAACAACAACTAATATAAATGAGCCATGTGGTTTCTTAAATGACAATACAAATGTAATGTGTACCTGTAAAGGAAGTGAGCTTCATTTATCCAATTTGTTATACTGTGAATCCATCAACTTCTAAATTTGATTTAAATTTAAAATTTAGACAGCTGCAGTGTTGGTGATGTCAGAGGATTGCTATGACTCCTCCTATGAGTCAATGACTCTGCATGAGTAAAAATACATCTGATATAAACAGTTAAGACAGATCACAGACTACAAAAATAAATTGCCAGTCCACAATAAACTGAAAAATAAAAAGAGCTCATGTAATACGATTACTATACTTCCTGTTGTCATCCTGTTCTACTTTTTATATTTTATTTTGTGCTATTTGTCAAACCAATAAAAAAGAGAAGCAATTGGGCTAAACAGACACCTTGGGGTTGATTTACTAAAGGCAAATAGGTTGTTCACATTGCAAGGAAATTTGCACTTGGCAGTGATTGTGGTGATATTTCACTTTACAAAGAATGCCCAATCATGTTCAAGGAAAAGAAAAAAAACAAAACAGTATTTTTGCTTGCACATTATTGGATGATGGAAGTCAGCAGAACTTTCCCTGCAAAGTGCAAATTCTCTTTTAAAGTGAACGCCCTATTTGCCTTTAGGGCTAGTTCACCCCAGCCCCAGTGCGTTCCAGTCCCAATGGTTACATAGTTACATAGTATTTGAGGTTGAATAAAGACATTAGTCCATCAAGTCCAACCTATTAGGATCTCATTCTAGGAGTACAACTGGGTTGCATTCCCGCCGGCTCACTTTGTTTTGGGGCAGGAGAGGGCATGGCAGTGCCTTCAAGTCAATGACACCACAGCCACACCATCCAGCCGCAGTTGAATTGCCCGCACTGAAAAGCGTGGCACATTAGTGCCTGTGTTCCGGTCCAGGAAGGTCAGAAAAAATAGTGCACGCAGCATTTTTTCTGACCGGACCGGAACGCAGGCAATAATGTGCCACGCGTTCCGGTGCGGGCGATCGCACTGCGGCTGGAGGCGGTGGCTGTGGTGCCATTGACTTCAATGAACTGCCACACACCTCCCGCCCCGATACAAAGTGAATGTGATTCAGTGCGTTCCAGCACCAATTCGGGGCCAGAACCGACTGGGGCTGGTGTGAACTACCCCTAAGTAAATCAACCCTTGTGCATCTTTGTATCATTGACGAAAATAATATCTGTGAAATAACTGAAAGTGTTTATACTTAAAAAATAGACCTTGCATGAGAAAAAATGACATTCTCACAATAGGATTTATATTGCTGTCTATATAAATTATAATGTATCAAACATAAAGTCTATATAAGATAAAATGTTATAAACATGAACTGCATGACCCTACCCATTGTGGCATGCAAATTGCAGCTTGCCAAAAATCTTTGTGTCTATCTGTTCGAACATGTAGAGATCCAGATGTGCTTATCATGTGATGTGTGATGTTAACTACCTCTCTCCTACACAGCTCTAAGATTCATTGATATATGAGAATCTGATTTATTCATCTGCTGTATGATAAAAGTAGCAAAGTAAGCTATATTATCATATGCAAACACATCACATGTGTGAAAAGGGAAAAGTTTCATATATTATCAATACTTGGAATTTTTCCCTTACAATCTTGACACCTGACTCACACTCTACCGGGTGAAAAGCTAGTTATCACAGTCACGCAGAACTTCAGGTTTTAGCTACCACTGTTTTGTCCAGCAGTGCTGGTGTCTTAATACACAGTCCACAATTGCTCAAGTCATGTTACACAGCCTAGCTGTGCTGATGTCATACTACACCGTCCGGCACTACTTTAAAAAGTACTACACAGTCCAGCAGGGCTCAAGTCATATTACATAGTTCAGTAATGCTTGTGTCACACACATCTTACATTTTCCAGCAGGGCTCACGTCATCTTACACTGCCCAGCAGGGCTCACATCATCTTACACTGCCCAGCAGGGCTCACGTCATCTTACACTGTCCAGCAGGGCTCACGTCATCTTACATTGTCCAGCAGGGCTCACGTCATCTTTCACTGTCCAGCGGGGCTCACGTCATCTTACACTGCCCAGCAGGGCTCACATCATCTTACACTGCCCAGCAGGGCTCACATCATCTTACACTGCCCAGCAGGGTTCACGTCATCTTACACTGCCCAGCAGGGCTCACGTCATTTTACACTGTCCAGCGGGGCTCACGTCATCTTACACTGCCCAGCAGGGTTTACGTCATCTTACACTGCCCAGCAGGGCTCACGTCATCTTACACTGCCCAGCAGGGCTCACGTCATCTTACACTGCCCAGCAGGGCTCACGTCATTTTACACTGTCCAGCGGGGCTCACGTCATCTTACACTGCCCAGCAGAGCTCCCGTCATCTTACACTGTCCAGCAGGGCTCACGGCTGATTCTGTTTTAACATGCTGTCTAAACTGTGTTTTTCATACTTTATAATTCCTTAAAATGAAAAGATGTATTTACAAGCATGTGATATCACCTATCTGAAAACCATGTTCACCAGCACACACCTACTGTACACTTCTTATTGTGGTGTCTATTTATCATCCTGATTCCAGCGAATGGAAAATAGTTACATGGGGCCAGCTCCAGGAAACAAAATCTGCAGACTACATTTTCAACAACTGGCAGATGGCAAGCTTGTGTAACATGATGAAAGAACTCTACACTTTTGAGCAGCAAATATGCTAAATTAAGGATTAAAAATAAAGCTAAGATAAATGGGGTAAACAAGGGAACACAATAGACAGATGAAAATAAGGTCAAAGATGTTTACAGTTTATGGAAGAAAAAAGTTCATGCAGACATCTATCAGCTTTTTCCATATTAATGTGACTCTAGCAAACTTGTTGACGACAAAGATGAATGAGAAAACAAAACACTGAGGTCTAAACAACAAAATCTATTAAATGTCTGACATGACACAACCAAGAAGAGGAATCTTGCTGATGGTAAATCCAATTCTAAAGTGTGCCTCTCATCCTAGCCCCTTGCCCTTACCTAAAATGTATTAACGCAGGAGGACAATGAGATCATACGACTAGACTGCCATTTTGACAGTAATGTCAATGACTTTGTTCTTTTATTTAAAAGGCAAGGAGCAATAAGCAAGGTGTAACAGCCCACAAAATGAATCAGAAGTCATCTCTTTCTCCCTTTTCCTCCTCTACCCTTTTTCTGTCACTACAAGGCTGATACTAAATGCCCCTGTGAACTAGACCCTAAAACAGTGGTAGTCAATTCTCCTTATATTGGGGCCCTCAAGTGTGACCCCTACCATTACCAAAAGATTGCACATAATATTTACAGGCAGCCGAGTTAATAACCGTGCCAAAGTGAAGTGAGCCGAACACTGTTCGGCTATTCACTTCTGGCTTGTACGGCTGATTACAGCCATACATCGGCTGAAATCAGCTGTACATCGGCTCTGTACGGCTGCCTTCGGTCAGCCGAACATGCACTGCATGTTCGGCTGAGCCGAAGGGA